ACCAGATCCTGTGTGAGCAGAGCAACTCGCTTTACGTGACCTCCGCTGGCTCCATATTACTGTTATGGCGGCGACCAAACACTGAACTCGAGGCTTCAAAGTGGTACTCAGCAAACCAATGGGTGACGACTCGATAGGTTCACACTTGGTTTGGACAGAGATTGTTTCAGTGCTCATTTTAAGACACTGAAATGAAAATGTATTAATGTGGATGTTGCCTTAAACGTAAACACCAAGATTTCTTGTTTCAACTCCATGTGGGGAAAAAAGCTCTTAAACACTGTTGTCGCCATTTTACATTGAGGTACTATAAAAGTACAGTACTGTTTTCATCCCTGAGTACTGTCTGCAGGTCTTCTACCAATCAGAGTGAGGACTTTCTGTCTGACAGGCAAAACCCAGGGCAAAAACACATCAACTCACACTGTTGGTGCTGTAAACTGGATTGGAAGTAAAGCAGCTTAATGAGTTCCTCTGAAGCAACATTCAGATTAAGTCTGTGTGTGTCTGTGTGTGTTTTATAAGGGTTAGTCAGGTGTGTCTAGGTAAGGTCACACAGAGCAAGAGTTTAAAGGAACAGTACAACACTGAGAGAAATCTTTTGTTTCAGATTGGAGCTAAACTAGGCTGAGTCCGAATGTTAACATTGTACTTTATCAGTAGTTTTACTGCAGTACTCTCAGTTTTACTGCAGTACTCACAGTTTTGTAGAGCTCCAGAGTTTCTTGCGTCGGGTTGAAATCAGCTCTGAACTCATCCACCAGAACAGGAAGAGACCGGATCTGATCCGACAGAGCCGTCGCCACCTGACGACAAAAAAACAACCAGCTGATACTGTATGTCCATGATAACAACAACAATAAATGCAATACGCGTAATTATTATATTTATATAAATATATTTTAAAAACTAAAGTGTCCATATTCAGCGGTTTGCATTAGAATATGAACACATTAGTTTTACTGTATAAAAATATATATTATTTACTAGTTATTTACACAATATCTCAATTTATTCATTAGTATTTAAGTAAACACTGAGGTTGTTGACACAGACACATTGTACAGTGTAAAGCTGTCTTTGTTGTTGTTATTTATTGATCACACACACACACTGTATATGATGACAGACATATGGGCCGTCATGATGTGGAGGATTTCTTCACCTTAGCAGCGACGTCATCCGTCAGCGTCCTGATACGCTCTTTCACGTTGTCAGTCAGACGGTTAATCTGTCCTCGAACAAAATCCAGCCGGTCCCTCTGATCCTCGCGCTCCTCCAGGCAGAAGATCCTGTCAGAGGTCAGAGGTCAGAGGTCAGAGACACTCTGGGACTCTAGAAAAACAACATTTTTTGGGATTGAGTGAAAAAGAAAGTGAGATTCCTGACTTCCTGTCTGCGGAGGCGATGTTGATGGCGTCCATCACAGCCTTGATGGCCTCTGTGATCTGCCACGCTCTCACCGTGTGCTGCTCAAACTTCGTTTTCACTGCGGACTGAGAGATGAACTCCTGCAGGGTCAAAGGTCATCCACACTCAGGGTTCCTGTCCAAACTCAGAATCACAGACATGAAGCCGTGTTTGTTCGTACCTCAAACGTCCTCTCAAACATCTGGAACTCTCTCAGTCTCTCGTGGAAACCTTCAGCCAGAGCGCCACCTGCAGGAGGACACAGGTCTGAGTCTGCAGGTCCAGACCAGCTGGAGCACTGCGAACCTCTTCCCGTATAGATTCATCTGACAGGTATTGATAAATCAGTGAATCAGTTAGTCTATGAGACATCAGAAGGTTTTGTCCAACCAGAGCGATCTGATGGACAGAAAAGGTCTGAAATCAATGAACTGATTGTCCCAACTGTTGCCAGTTCATTCACTTTTGCCTGATTGGTTGTTTGACGGGAGGTTTCAGCTGCAGTGAACTCATCAGTGTTCATACGGACTGCTGAAGCGTTAATGACAAATGATATGAACAATAAGAAGCACTATAATGGTTTATATTGTTATAATATATTATATATATATATATATATATATATGATGGATATTCAGGGCGTTTATGTTTTATAACAAATAACAGGACAATTAAAGAAACTGGAGATTTCCCATTCGTATGCAGGCAGAGAACATGGCGGATTATTTACTGTAAATATCAACGTCTCTAACATCAGGAACTTCTGTGTGGTGAAAGGAGGCTCCTCCTCATGCTGTCCCTCACCTGGCTCACCTGTCTCTGGCATGCCCTGCGCTCGCTGCATCCTGGAGGTCAGGACCTCTTTGGCCGAGACGAAGAAGATCCTCCCCGGAGCCTCGTCTAGACCAACCACGTTCAGCTCCTCGGCCAGGAAGCTCACACAGCGGTCCAGGTGCTGCTTCCTCACCTGGACAGCAGGGGGACATAGAGTGGACGACCAGGTCCTTTAACTGTTCACTCACCTGCACCTTAGACTGATGAGAGCCAGATCACAACCAGATCACAACCGGA